CGACAGTGGTACCGGGCAGGACTGGACTGGACTGAATAACCGCACGGCCTGTGGGGTCAGGCCACGACCTGGTCCCACAGGCCGGACTGGCAAATAGCCAAATAGGCCCTGGATGTGGGCCAGGGCAGATGAAGGCCCGCTGCAGTGTGTGTGTGTGTGTGTGTACGCCCCCTAAGTTGACCAACCAGTAACGCACGCCCTCTACTCTCCCACCACAGGCCTAGCTGTATATTTAATGCGGGGTACTTATCATCGAGACGCCTATCATCATCACCAGTTAGAACCCACCAGACCAACCAGTCACTCACACCCTCTACTCTCCAACCACAGACCCTAGCTGTATTTTTAAAGCGGGGTACTTATCATCGAGACGCTTATCATCATTATCAGTTGATCGTAACCTTCTCCCAACCCTATGGTTGTGTATGTGTGTATGTACTCTGTGTCATAGATGTGTGCCCGTGAGCTATATGTATGGTTGTATGCTGTTCCCCACCATGGAGCCTTTGTGAAGTGAGGACTGAGTACTCGTGAGAGGTGCTCTTACCACCTCCACTCGTACATATATGTGTGTGTGTACCTTGAGCGAGAGAGAGAGAAAGAGAGAGAGAGAGAGAGAGAGAGAGAGAGAGAGAGTATGGATTGTGCTATCTAGGGTAGTATCTCATGTGTGTGTGTATGTGGTAGAGACAGGTCTATCTGGACAGGACCCCCCCCAAAGTCCGGAACCGGACTCGAACCTGTGACCTACAGTCTGAAACTGGAGGGTTCTACCACTTGTACTACCGTGGGAAGTGAACATAATGTGTGTAATGTCTGGACTGGGGGAGATCATCAGAGCGACCGAAGTCAACAACAACCAGCAACCAACGTGAAGACTAGACCAGCATACAACACCCATGGACTGACCCCCGGGGTGGTGCGCAGGCAGTGTCTGTAATAGTACCATGCATCAGCCTTAGGGAGTGTGTGTCCAGCCGTGCGTCATTCTAACGCCCTACTGGTGTCCAGGCGCAAGGCTGCGGAGTTTTGAACCCACAACCTCATACAGAATGCGCATTTCCAACCGGTGATTCTTAAAAATCCTTAGCTTATTCCAAAGGCCACCGGACAATCTAGAAAATCGCTTCTTCTTCTTCTTTGTTGTTTTTTTTTCTCCGGAACCATAGGAGAGGGTCCTGCTATGGAAGGTGATAAGAGTGTCCTTCCAGAGCAGGACGGCCCCCGTTGTGATGGCTCCTTTGAGTCCTATCTATTGGAGGAGAGCAGCACCTGCTGGGAACCTGGTGCAAATGAACCTCTTGGAAATACCAGTCCTCCCCAGCATAGAGTCATAGCTGAGGCCAAGGGTCTCGCTCCACTACTCACCAAATGGGCAAAATGAGAAGGAATATTCCACAAAAACATGGGAAGATACACCACCATACTTTTTTCTTGTTTTTTAGGGGTAATCTGCGCTGTCACGAAAACAGTTTGGAAATGCACTTCTGGCAATGCCGCGAACACAACACACCCCCACGCGACCCCACCGGACCCGAAACCTAGCTTATATACATTCACCATTACCAGCCCTTTTGCCTCAAGTGCATTTTCAAACTCAAACCCTGCCTGCGCCATAATTTTCACTTTTTTTTAACACAAGACAGCCGGCCGGACCCGATGTCCCTTATATTTCAGTGCCAGGAATAGGGCGTCCCTTACAAAAGTTCCACGGTCCTGTTTTAGGGCGAGACATCACCGGTCAAGTCCAAAAACTGGACCCGTGCACACCACGACTCCCCTGCCGAAAAAGAAACTACCGAAGAAACAGAAACGTCCGGCCAAGCAGAACCCTAACCACACTGTAGCAAAGCAATTCAACCAATAGTAAACCTAAAAAACAAAAACTTGACAGAGACTATTTTCCTTAACCCGGTGTACTCTCACTCTCTCTCTCTCTCTCTCTCTCTCTCTCTCTCTCTCTCTCTCTCTCTCTCTCTCTCTCTCTCTTTTTCTGTCTCTCTCTCCTGCGCGCGCGCGCGTGTTTTGTCTTCCGATCCTACTGCTCGCGGCAAAAGAAATAAAGAGAAAAACTATCAGGAGACTATTTGCCCTAACTCCGTATGCTCTCTCTCTCTCTCTCTCTCTCTCTCTCTCTTCTTCCGACAAAACATTGAGCTAATGAGAGGGCACAATGAATAATCCGTCAAAACACCCAAGATCCGAAAAACGAAATTGATATCACGCCCGAAGTAGGAGCGTCAGCGACAGTGGACAATCCCATTCGCATCTTGACGCCCGTTGTCATCCACGGCAGGCGATACCAGTCGCAACGAAAGGTTCGTTGTCTCTCCCGGAAGTCGGCGTTTTATCGATGCCCTATCCTCCTCCATCTCCAACACATCATCCCTACAGAGCTCCATCCCATCTGCTTCTCCCAAGTTTGCTGCAGACTGCCCCTGATAACCAAAAGCAGCATAATCCCACAGCGCCTCCGTATCGAAGACGAGGGGCAATGCCCCCGATCGGCTTCATGATTTCATCAGGT